TGTTCGTTTATGTTCATTTAGGCATGTTCGTTTATGTTCGTTAAGACTGTTCGTTTATGTTCGTTCGTTTACGTTCGTTTAACTTGTTAACGAACGAACATAAACGAACACGAACACATTGGATTTCTAAACGAACGAACACGAACACAATTACTTTCGTTCGTTTACTGTTCGTGTTCGTTCGTTTGTTCGGTTAAGTTAAACGAACGAACACGAACAAGCCTCCGTTCGTGTTCGTTCGGTTCGTTTACAGCCCTACTAATTTATCAATGGGTCGTTTACTAAACGCTTACGGGTAAGTAAATATTATGTCACATTATCTTAGCGGATGAATATAATAATGAGATCTTATCCGGTAAGAACAAGACAATGACTTACTTGGTAAGTGAGGGCGACGACTCTTACAAAGGTAAGCACTTACCGGGTAAATTGTTGTATAAGATACGTTTTGTTGGACTAAAACCTTACCCGGTAAGTAAATAATACTGTTAAATTTTACCGATAAACATTTACCGGATAAGTGTTTGATAAACAGCCCCTAAATTAGTTGGTATTACTCATAGTCTACTTAAGTACATGGTATTGAAAAATTATATATCACAGTAATATTGTATCATACCTATTATATATATATATATATATATATATATATATTATTAAATAAAAAATCAAGAATTATATTTAATTATTAATACATAATTGGTTTTTTAAAGAAATTTAATCATTTATTAAATTAACATTTTTATTGTTTTATTTGGTTAATGACTCGCTACTATAACGTTAATCACTTGCTACTTACTAGTTAGAGTTGAACGCATCCTCAACTCAAGTAATCTTAAGGGGCCGTTTATCAAATGTTTACCTAGGTAAGTGCTTACCAAGCCATATTACCTTACCGGGTGAATATGACAAGTACCAAGAATCTTACCCGGTAAGAGCGAAGGCAATGACTAAAAGTCTTACCCGGTAAGTGATGGCGACTCCTCTTACCACGGTTAGCGCTTACTGGGTAAATTATTACATATAATGTTGTTTTGGTGGACTTAAATCTTACTCGGTAAGTAAACAATAGTGTTGAATTTTACCGATAAACACTTACCGGATAAGTATTTAGGTAAACGGCCCCTAAGTCACTTACTACTTACTAGCAGGTTTGTATTAAGTCATTTGGACAGTAAATTATTTGGAAAACAGGTTATATTTATGTTAATGAATTTGTAATTAACTTCAACTTTTGAGATGTTTGTAGAAAACCGTACCAACAGAATTTTTTTTGGTACAAGTAACTCGTTCGAACTTTTTTTTAAGTCAAGTAACTCATTCGAACCCAATTAGGTTTGGGTAAATGGTTTTGAGTTATTCAATTTTTAGGGCTTTCAAAAATCCTTAGTAAAATACCATTGACAACAGTGAAAAAACACATAACTTGACAAAATTAATAAGCTTTCGAGAGAAAATATTTGTCTATAAATATGGAAACCATCCAAAAACACTTAAATTGTTAAGAATTACAACACGAAAGGCATATAAGTGGGTTGTCGAGAGCAGGGAGTGATTGGTCGGAAGCAAGTTGGGGGCAAAAACGGGAGAAGGTTGGAGACAAAAAAAAAGTTGAAGCAAATATGAAAATTAGGATTTAGAAAGTTAACTTTCGGGTGGGGCATTGTGCCCCCTACGCCGATAAACCTGTATTTTGTTCCTCTCCTAAATTGCAATATTTTTTAATTTGATATAATTTAACAAATAAGTGCAGAATATATAAATCTTAAAGTTCAAGTTATAGGGTCAAATCGCTTATTTTGATTAATATATGGCTAGGCTTTGCAAGTTAACCGTTGTGTTGGGCTTTTAAGTATGACAAACCTCACTGTTTTAGATTTGAGCAATACATTTCTTTAAATCTAACCATCGAATGTTGAACAAATTAAACTTTGATTGCTAGTTCTATAAACATTCAATCATACATAATATTGTATGTGCACATGGGTTCATGTGGTCTAACTCGCTATCTCGCCTTATGGCCCAACACTGGTCTTCGTCCGGAGAAGCTAGCCTAGTCCACTTTGCATGCAAGCTGTAGCTCCACTAATTCGGCCGAAAACACGTGGATCCTAATCGGTCTATCTTGATCCGGTTTTTACTCACAATCGGTCAAACCTGATGTCATCAGCACCAGGTTATTTCAAACTCAAATTAGCTCATGTTGAGCTTATTTTTGTTCAAATTTTCTTGCTAAATCTAATACGTTTAATTATTATTTGACTTAAAAATTAGCTTCTACTTCTAATTATAATGACTACTATTCTATTTTGAAATTGTTAAAATCCGTTCCACCATTGTGATAAAGTAATATTGTGGTGGTGGTTGAAATTCGATGACTTAGGGGGCGTTTACCTAATGTTTACTCGAGTCAGTGCTTACCAGCAAAAATCAACATTATCACTTACTTACCTGGTAAGATTTTAGTCAACGAAGTATGGTATCCTACGCAACAATTTACCCAGTAAGCGGTAACCGTGATAAGAGTTATCACCCTCATTTACAGGGTAAGACTCTCGGTCCTTGCCTTTGCTCTTACCAGTAAGATTCTTTGTCCTTGCCATATGCATCCGATAAGGTAATGCGACTTGGTAAGCGCTTATCAAGCATTTAGTAAACTGCCCCTTAGAGTCTCATTTGACTAGTAACACCCATATCAATACATTGAAAACTAAAAACAACCCAAATCGAGTCATAATTCAAATAATGGTTTTCGAATTACGCTAAATCTCCAGCCTAAACTTGAGTTTGAATAACATTGCTACAACTTTCGATTTTTCTAGATTTTGCACTGTTTTGATAAACTTTTAAGGGGTTTGTACGTTGAATTCACTCCCACAATTTTGATGAATCACCACTATTACGGTTTTCATCGAAGCTTCATCGAATTCACCATCCCCTTACTGATTGACTTTAGAAAAATTACAAACCATATCCCTCATCTTTTGGAAAACGATGTTCACCATTGTCTCTTATAAAGTATATATACATGTTTACACTTATAGCTTGTATTTCAATTTTGTATCCATTTTGGCCCTTCTTCCACTTTTAGGTTGTGATAATCAGTTATCAGTTATAAAGTTTGGGGTTGTTTTTATATAAATCAAGGTGGAAGGTCGAGGGGCTTGCTGTGTTAATGTGCCTAAAATGTTTTAAAAAGCAATCTCACCGCCTCAATTGTTTATGATTATTCTTTTACGAGATAATTGTTATTATTTCATGGGATTATGTGAAGAATTGAGAATATCTGCTTTTAGAAAGAACAAGTGAAAAACTTTTATTCTTTGAGTTAAAGAAAACATAATTCGGAGAAGGAAAGCCTTTAGAATTTATTCTGTGATTGTTGCCTGGATAAACTGTTGTTGTTCATCTTCACATCTTTTTCTCTTGAGATTGTTAAGTGAGTTTATTTTACGAACTTTCCTTATTTGATGTTGAAATTAGAACCGTATGGTTCTTTATATGGGGATGTTTTGATGCTTTAATTAGCATAATTGTGGGATTTTTGATATGTTATATCATATATTTGGAATAAGGATGACATATCAAAGAGAGGTGTATTTTGGTTATAAGAGTGACATATCAAGAATATATGTATGTGGGAATAAAGGTGACATATCAAGTAGAGGTGTATACCAGGATAAAGATGACATAATCAATGAAATATGAAATCTGGGTTTTGATCAAAGTATTTTCTGTTTGTCGCATCCTTGTGATGCGATGGCCTGAAGTTGTCGCATCTGTATGATACGGTGACTTGAGTTTATCGCATCCTTGTGATTCAATGAGTGGTGTTTATCGCATCCTTGTGATGCGAGAAGTGAGTTTGTCGCATCATTGTGATGCGACAAAATGAACTTATCGCATCTTTTTGATGCAACAAGTTGGGATATCGCATCTATATGATGCGATGAGATGAGGTCCTCGCACCAATGTGTTGCGAGGAAATGGGGTTGTCTCACCTATGTGATCCGAGGAAATTATGTTTTCATCTATATGATGCGACGAATTATATCAGAATATGTTAATTGAGTTATTGGGCTATTTGATGCGATAAATTGGTGATGTTTCATCATTTTGATGCAACAAAAGAGATTTGTGTTATTAAAAAGTTCAATATTTGTTACCGATTCCAATATGAGTTTATACATGTGATTTGCTGATTATTCACTCTGTAATAGACAACAAAGGATTTCTCATTAAACCTCAAGGTTTAACCCTCGTTTTTTGTTTGAAAATGTGTATTACATGTCAGGCACAACCGAGGATAAGGGGAAAGGGAAATTATGAAGAGTTACATTTATTTTCATGGAATATGAAATGATGTGTTATCTTCAGTTTTTGGAATACTTGTTACGTATAAAAGTTTTGTATAGGGATTTTATGGGAAAAAATTTGGTAGCTACTTTGTTCTGTAGCTTTTGTAAATAGTGGTACCAGTTGTGTAAATTATATTTCTTGATATACGGAAATATATGTTTATATGCAAATGTGATTATGGAGTATTACATATGTATTTCATATTTATTCAAAGAACATTCTCATAAGCTTCATTTGTAGTTTCAATAGTCAAAACAATGCCATTGCATATTTGTCGATTAATCAATGTGGTTTTGTGCATTACTTAACCTACCAAAAGTAATTTTCTACATTTACATTCCATTGTATACAAACTTCTTGTAACGTGCAATGTATAGAACAATCAAGTATTTAGAGCACGTAAAAACCGTTTGACATTGAAAATTTTCTTGGCCATGTGCTTGTAAATCGTAGCAACTTCAAGTTTCTTTCCACATGTCTTGATTTCTCTCGAATATTTACTCGTAAATGTAAATATTACCTTCTTCTCCATCACCATTATCTCCATCGACTCCATCTCTCCTATCAGTTTTATAAAAACAAATTTTCAGTTCATTGGATAATTATTTGACCTATATTATGTACAAACTCAACAAGAACATCAAAATTAGATTTCAGCTTCATCAAGTAAATCAATTTGTCGATTATGTTCATTTCTCAAGTAAGACCATTTGTAGCACTTATGGGTACAACTTTGACACAAGAAATTCACTATAGTAACCATGTGATAGTGTTGCTACTTTGGCTAAAGCTTATAGTCAAGTATATAATGTCAAGTCTAGACACTTATGTAATATCCAGAATTTTGGTAAATGAAGTTTCAAGTTGTATGTGTGTTTTTATCTTAAGAATAACAAAGTTTAAATATCTGGAAGTTTGGGTATGTATAAGTGTATATTGGGTCAAGAAAGGAGGCCATTTGGAAACTTGCTACACTCCTTGACCATGAAGAAAACGCCCCACCATGAAAATTGGACAAAAATCGGAAACAGTAACTGAGGCTAATTGTGAGACGTCTTAGGCTGCTTGGACCATAGTCACCCGAGTGTGTGGGGTGGGGTTGAGAAGTCATCGTGCATGTAGTGTATGTCGTGTTATGGGGCCAGGCGACCTAGTCGTGCGCCTTATGCTGCATGAAGAGCCACCCACAGGCAGTGTCCGTGCGGAGAAATCAGGTCGGGCGACGTAAGGGTGAGGCGCCCTATGTCGCCCCAAAGCTAGCCCGAGCCATTTTTAGCTTAACTAGCTCCAAAATTGTGAACCTCTCCTTATCTTCACATCATTTCTATCTCATTTATCTTTCCTCTCATTTGGTCCTTGAGAATTTGTTTCACCATTTTGAAAGGGTTTAAGAGCATTTAAAGGATTTGGAGCTAAAGATCAAAACTAGTGGTTTAGGGCTTAACATATTCATCTTCTTGAACCACCTTTCACCATTGTTGACCTAGTTTTGGGGGGTGTTCTGATTTGTAAGTCCATCTTAATATTCTAAACCTTTATTCTTATTAAAACATTTCGTTTTAACCTCCTAGAACAATCCTTTTGAGATATCTTCCATATTTTGAAGTTTTGACCCATTCTGGGAGATTTGGGTGATTTAAGATTTTTGGCTAAGGTTTATATGGATTTGATTTTGGGATTACTTTTGGTACATCTCTAGGCTTGGTTAAGACTCATATAAAGTTTCTAGAGATGGAAGTTTGTGGATATAAAGCCTTCATCATTTAAAAGTTATAAATAGGTTTAGAACCTAAGTTTAACTTAACCTAGCAAGGTGAGTTCAAGTTGATTTCTAAAAACTATGTACATGCCAAAAATGTCTATTTTGATATATTGAATTTTTTCCTTGATGTTAACCAAATGTGATTATTATTTGATGAGGTTTTCATTTTTGTACAATGGGTTTATAAGTCTTGAGAAATGTCTGTATTTGGGATTTTTAGACATTTTGATAACTAAATCATAAGTGTGGGTTCTTTTAATAATTTATCTTATAATGGAGATTATTTTGGTGTTAATTCATTTTAGTGTACTTGGTTTAAAAAATGCATATTGTTACATAACGGGACACTTTGGAAATATAAATGGTATGATTTCGGTTTGAAAATGGTTTGTCCCAACCAACGATGGTTTTTGAGCTAATCATGTCCTTAGGCATGTGTTTTCATAAACGTTGGTTAAATACATTATATTGATTATGATGACTTTTATTTAATAGTCAAATTGAGTTGATGAGCTTTGGCTCGATTTTTACTTCGATGAGTTGGGGGACATTTGTTTGGTTTAATTGTTTCATGTTGAGCTTTTGGAGTTATATGCATATATGACATAAATATTTAATAAGTTACATGTTTTTAGTGTATTGGTCATTTAGTTGGAATTATCTAATTTAGACTATAATGCATTCGATCCATAGGCGTATGAGTTAGTCATGTGTTAGTGGTCATGACAATATAATGGGGTTGATTCCGGGACTACAAGCACTATGGGGTTGGAACCCGAGGCCTTTGTTTTGAGGCTTTTGGCCTAGTTGAGTAGACACTAGGGACATAAGACTAGAGGTGCTACCTAAAAGGGTAGGCACGGAGAACCATGCGCCTTAAGGTGTTACTCATGGGGGTAGGTACTAAGGACATGATCCTTGTGGTGTTACTCCTAAGAGTATGCACTAAGATTATTGAGTCTTGAGGTTCTATCCGTGGAGGTAGGCACTAAGATATTTGTTGTTTAAGGTGTTATCCATTGGGGGTAGACACTAAGTATGCCGACCCTTAAGATGTTACCTTGGAGGTAGACACTAAGGTCAATTGAATCCTTGAGGTGCTACTTGATAACATTGATGTGTGGCTTATTTTGTGATCGCCACTTTCGACAGAAATGGGTCTCCTCTGTCAACGATAGGTGTTAGTTTTGGATAGTATATCATCCATATTTTAGTATTATTTTGGGTTTGGAGAGTAATCTGTTAATCCCCTCTCACAGTGATTTGATGATGATTCTTTTTAACCTTACGAAATGTACTATCTCTGTATTCAGCTTCAACGATCATCACTGGGTCTGTTCAGTGATTGTTGAACATGTATTGTAATTCCTTCAGAGACAAGTATTCTTTAGGAAGACAAAACTCACACCACAAAACCTTCAACGATATCGAAGATAGAAGCTGAAGATAGAGACAAGCAAGTTCGTGATCTGATGTGGTTTTTCAGTGATAACAAGATCGTTTACACAAGTGTTAAATATACTCAAGATTCAACAAACACTGATGAGACCTCCAGCGTTATTCCAGTATCAGCTATCAAATGAATCTTGTTGAACAAGATTAGTTTTTATCTTGTCCTTCTACACACAAATGACAAATCCATACCTCTCAAAGTAAAATATTGTACAGAGTCACTCTACTGATGTGACGAATGCTAATTAGAGTCAATAGAAAGATTTAGCAATTCGGGGGGCATCATTCATATGTTGGAGATAATGACTGTTTTATTGGGGTTTGGTAGCAACCATCCCTCTTTGTAGTCTTGTATAAGATTTGGAAGATATTGTATTCATGTTAAAATATAGATTGCCATTTTAGGTAATCAATGTTGATTGATAGAAAGGGATTAAATCCTTAGTTGATGTACTTTTAGATATTTTAAATTAGTCGCTCTTTTCAAATTTGAGGGAGTTACAACTTAGGTCATAGCATGATTTGTGAGTTAATCACGAATTAGGTGATTTCGGTTGAATTTGTTCCATTACAACAAAATCCATCGGACCACTTGACGAAGGGGTTGGCTAGGGACTTGTTTAATAAGTCGGTTATAGGGATGGGATTTAAGTCCATCTAGATCTCCACAGATGAGATACCCAATTCACTTCTAATACAACGAAAAAAAATGGAAAGTCATCAACGAAAATGGAAAGAGAGGGATTCAAACCCTCGCTTTCTCTATAGTATTGTCACACAGCTGCCCACCTAGACGCCCTGCTTTAACTTCCCCAGCCCCAACTGATCAACCATCTTTGTGGGTTAGAAATTGAACTCAATGCGAAAGCTCAGTTTTAGAGATTGAAGCACAAGTTAACCATCCCAAGGTATATGCTTGGTACTACAAGTGAAGGAGGCTGAAAAAGTCATACTTCTTAATTGTTCTCTTGTGAAAGTGCATGATGAAAGCGGAAAAAAATTTAGTAGAAAAAATTGTTATTAGTAAAAAAAATGAGTGAATTGAGCAGGGAAAAACGAGTAGAAAAAAGGAGCAGAAAAAAAGATTATGGAGCATTAATCAAAAGAGAAATCGAACCTGGAGAAGCTATGGAGAAAAGAGAAATCGAACCTGAGCGACAATGATAAATCAAAAATCAATGCAATGTAGAAGGAGATGTGTTGCTATTTTATCATAATAGGGTTAAAGGATATATTTGAGATTATGAAATTAGAATATTTCATTCCATCAAAATATCACCTTATTGCTAAAGAATATTTAAATTCCTTATTTGTGTAATTCAATAGATTTTGAAGATTCCTTCCCTACAAAAGAATGAATCAAACGAGAGAATGAAATTTGGTCAAGGGAATTCAACATTTCATTTCCTTTAGATTCCTCTAGAATCTGTGAACCAAACGCTACCTTAGAGGGTCATTTAAATTCACATGTATGATATTTTCTAGTACTCAAATGGTTTGAAGGGTTTAATCCATAGGACACCAGAATTGTCGGGTATTTAAAATGTATAATTTACTAAGATGAAAATTCAATCTTTTAAATATTTTCATTCATGCATGAGTTTGTTTTCCTATATTAATTATTGTTTTTGAACCATGGATTGGAACTAAAATGGGGGAGGTATGTTGGTGATTTTAGTGAAACTATTAATTCATTTTAGGTAATTGAATTCATAATAGAATAATGGGGTTGGTAGCGAAGCTACATCACGAGCTAGGAGGTGTAAAGTGCACACTCGTGTAAGCTAACTAGAACCCAAGATTATTGGATGGATTTGTATGGCAAGTTTCTAAGTGGTAGATGGCAGGTGCACGGGTCGTGCTTGGACACGGAAGGTTGCACGGGTCGTGTACTTTTTCACTTGAAAAGAGCACAGGTTGTGCGTTTATCGTCAGTATGCTATCAACTGATCAGCACTGATCGTGCATTTTTTCACTCGAAAAGAGCACGAGCCGTGCGTTTATCATTAGTTTGTTCTCAGTTGATCAGTATTACATCAGTTGATGGGTACATCAACTGATGGTTGGCGACTGATGGGGTTATCAATTGAGGGTTTCAGCTGATGAGTTGTGACTGATGGGGTAATCAGCTTATGACTTTAGCTGATGGTTTTGCTTATGATATATTATCAGGTGATGGGTTTTGTCACTAACGGGGTCATCAGCTGATGAGTTTTCACCTAATGGTTTTCCCACTAATAAGTTATCAATTGATGGTTTTCATTAGTTTTGTAATTGATCTATTTGTAATCATCCACTACTTATTTCAAGTATTCATTTCCATTTAAAGGATAGTTATTTCCAGCATTAATATAGGAGCGGTTACGATTCTCTAAGTTAAAAAAGAAACGATTTTTGTCGAGATCGAGATTGAAAATTTGAGATTATTCTCGAGTGAATTTCGTGACACCCAGTCAGAGTTAGGTCAAAATAAGGAAAACAATATCTCAGATGATATCAAGTTATTATCCAAAATTTTAATCACTTATTGTTTCTCACTTTTTCTAAAAATTCCTCCAGAATAATTCAAACCTAAATCCTAAATCCTAAATGTATATGTGATAAAATGGATAATCGGTCTTTGAACTCAATGCTTGTATGCCATCTTGAATTCTATTTTCATCATTTATTGTCGTCTATTTTATTTGTTAGGTATCTAATCATTTGAGAACTTCATATATTTTAATAATCCTGAGAACTTATATCTTAATGTATTGTTTCACATGATTTTTCTCATCTAAAACTAGCATCTAATGTATTTGTTGAAAATATATATTTATTTCACAATGTGTTTGCTTCATATGTATACAGTTCATAATGTAAAACTCTTTTACGTATAAAGGTTCATATTGTATAACAAGTACATGTTGGAAAAAAAAACACATTATGAAACAAGTATACACTAATCGATATTTGATATTCTTGTATCAACTTTAATTTTTTACTATAATTTAACATAAAAATATTAATTTATTAACTAGTATTAATATGATAACTTTTTAATTGAAATATAGATTAATTATTAAAATATGTAATAAAATATTAAACAAGATATTTTACTTTAATTTATATTTTTGATAACATAATCATAAAAACGGGTTATATTTATATTTGCAGAGGATTTTTTCTAACATATTTTTTTAAGTTATTTTGTAATTATTTATAAAATTAACTACAGATAAAAATAATTATAGTATCTTATTATACTTATAGATCATGTTATTTTTTATTATATTAATTTGTAATATCACCATAACTTTTTTTCTCACACAATATTTTGTCTATATATAAGAGGGCTTCTTTTGAGAACCAATGAAATTATGACAACCTTGAAAATTAATGCATCATGTGTTATTTCATATGCGTTTGTTTCATCTAAGACTAAAGTTTAGAATATCGATTAACACATATTTGTTTCACCATGTATTCGTTTCACAACATGAAACCTTTTTAGCTTGTTTGTGAAACAAAGTTTACATGTAAAAAAATTCAAATTGTGAACGACATACATATAAAGCAAACAAATATATGTTCAATAATACAATAAATGCTAGCCTTAGATAACAAATTTTTTTGTGAAATAATATTTTAAGATAAAAGTTCTCACAGTTATCATTATATATGAAGTTCTTAAATGATTAAGCTCATATATATACACGATAACGGAAAAGGAATCCAACAAGTGGGACCCCCTATTTTTGTATCTCTACATCTACACCCAATTGGCTGTGCTAAATTCACAACGGCTAGCTTTCTCCAATGGTGGAAAAACAAGCCCTTAATTTCTATGCCTAACACTAATATCTATTTTCAATTGAAATGAAAATCTAATTTACCAACTCAAATTTTCATTTAAACTTTAACCATAAAATCAAGAAATCTTGAAAACTTACCATTCAATCTGGAAACGATGCCTGCAACTCTATCTTCACACTTTTTGCATCCAAAATCCGCCAACAAAACCACTTCTTGAACCTTAATAAATTAAGCCATTTACCGTATCATCAATTTACCCATTATACCAGGTTAACTAAGAACAGATTATAACGTATATATAATTAAACATAATTACTAGAGGGAAGGTTAAGGATTCAACGGAGGCAAGTGTAGTTGAAACTTCGATCAACTTGTTTGACTTTTCTTCTTCTTCTTCCTCGTTCTTCTTCTTCCTCCTCATTCTGCTACCGTAATTTGTAAGGGTATTTGGGTATGTATGTTTTGTTGTACCATGGGAAAAGGGGAATCCTATCTATCTTTAAGGTAAGGGTAGGGTTTGCTTCAATGGTGAAATGGTAAATTACACAACAAAGGTACAACTTGTAATGCATAGAGTATGAGTTGCTATATATAGCATTGATTGTAAGGGTTTACCAATTACCATCATATGAATGTCAAATATGTAAACTTGGTGGGACCCCACCCCACCACCATGGATGTAGATGCATACAAAACAACAACAATGAAAGATCAATTTCTTGAATATACAGCAAATTAATAATGGTCAAATGTGTAATATTATTGTTTAGTGTATATGTATGAAAAACTTGGTAGCTAGAAGTTGGTGATGCCAACTGTTTTTGTAGCTAAGTTTGTCTTCTCTGTTATCTCGTAACATATGCTTAAGTCCTTAATTATTACTAAGCCAAATGTATATCCCACGTGGACGAGTAGTGGGGGTGAAATGTATGCAAACGTGTTTTCTGTCTTGAAGAGTAAATGAAAAGCCCAACTAGCAAAATGTGGATCTTGGATGAAGGTAACCATTAAAAGGGATTTCTAAAAAGAGAGAATGTGTTTTATGTTGTTTAGTATGATGAGATTTGATTTTGAAGCTTACTATTGTTTTAAAAACATACAATGATGGTATGTAGTGAATATTGTGTGGTATATATTATATATATATATGGGCATAATCAGATGAGAACTAATTAGTTTGTGTTAACTGTAAAGTTCAATCTCAACCACAAATCAATAGATAAATTAGGTAGTTTATAATTTTGGTAATTTTGAATTAAAATTTTAATGCAAGGACATATTAGGTATTTTCTCTCATCTCTTATCTCCCCGTCCTCCGGTGATACCACAGTGGTATCACAATGCATCTTATATGTGCTTGGGTATCACAGTGAAGTCGTTTGTGCGGTCGATCAGAGATGTAACACAGTGGTATCACAATGCATCTTATGTGTGCTTGGTATCACACTGTGTCTTTTTGTTTAACAAAGTCAATATTTTTAAGTATCACACTGGTATCACCGGAGGTCGGAGGACGGGAGACGGAGAGAGAAGAGAGAAGAGAGGAGAGAAAATACCTAAATTGTTCTTGTATTAATATTTTAATTCAAAATTAGCAAAATTATAAATTTCCTAATTTATCTATTGATTTGTGGTTGAGATTGGATCTTACGGTTACCACAAACTAATCAGTTCTCCCTTGAATGAGTGTATATATATATATATATATATATATATATATAGGGGCACGTTCAAATGAAAACCGTGCATTTCTAAGAAACCGTGTAAAACAATTTCGACCAATAGGAAAATTCCTTTTTTTCTACTTAAATTTAATCAATAAGGGTATTTCGGTCATTTACAATATTTTCTATTAAATATGAAAGTTATTAATAAATCTTAATTAAGAAAATGTAATTAAGGAAATTGTATAAATGGTAACATTTAAATATTTAATTATATTAAAATATTAAAAATTTGGATTTCATATATTGTCATGAGTTATAATCAGGAAACGTGTCTTGATGAAACAATTGAATTATGAAATGAAATCATCAAAACGTAGATGAACAAAAAAAATCCACAAAATAAAACAGGAAACCGGTTCATGTTGCAAAGAAATTAGGTGAACCGAAACATTTTTATGGTGAACCCATTGCATTGATGGTGTAGTTAATCCTTTTTTTATGAGAAGCAAAATGAAACCGACGCATTTTGAAAAAAAATATGAAAAGGAAAATGAAACAGGTTTCATGAACGTGAAACCGGTTCATGTTGCAAATAAATTAGGTGAACCAAAACATTTTTATGGTGAAACCGTTGCATTGATGGTGTAGTTAATCCATTTTGTTGATGAAAAGGAAAATGAAACCGGTGCATTTTGAAAATAAATTATGAAAAGAAAAATGAAACAGGTTTCATGAACGTAAAACCGGGTCTTGTTGCAAATAAATTATGTGAACCGAAACATTTTCATGGTGAAACCAATTTCGTTCATATAATGTAATTCAAAATTTAAAACGATTCACTCCATATAATTGAATATGATGTGTTATATTCATTTATTTTATATGTTTTATTGATGGATGTGATTTAAAGTTAAAAATAATATATTGTTTTAAAAATTGAAAATAGTGTCATTAATATCGAGAATGATGTTACCAAATGTTAAATTTTGTTTACCATTTTTGCCCTTACTGTGAAAATAAAATAAAATTTTAATATATATATTTTTTTAATTTCCTAAAATAAAGTAAACTAATTTTGGTCATTGATCAAGAAAATAGATGAATGAGATTGGTTTACACGGTTTACACAAATAGGGCAGGTTTTTATTTGAACGCTCCTCTCTCTCTCTCTCTCTCTCTCTCTCTCTATATATATATATATATATATATATATATATAGGTGGAGGTTCAAACAAGAACACCTCTATTTTACGAGAATGCGAGACATGTTAATCTATACATATAGTTTAATCCATACATATTAATCTATACATATAATTACCGAACAAAAATTTATCTTAAATCTATACATATAGTTTAATCCAAACATAGTTTAGTGAAAAAAAACAACCAATTAGCTCCTCAGTTGCTCTAACCAACAATAGTGCGAGCCTATATATTTCAAGCTTAGGGGCCATTTACTTAAACACTTACCCGGTAAGCATTTACCGGTAAAATTCAACATTATCGTTTACTTATCGGATAAGATTTTATTCATTAAAACACATCGTATGCAACAATTTATTCCAGTAAGCGCTAACCATGGTAAAAGTCATCGTCCTCACTTACTGGGTAAGACTCTCGATTCTTGTCTTCGCTCTTACCGGGTAAGATTTTTAGTCTTGTCATATTCATCCGGTAAAGTAAAATGACTTGATAAACGCTTACCCGGGCAAGCATTTGGTAAACGACACCTTAATTGAAAAAAAATTACTCTCTCTTTCCTAAAATAAATGTCCATAATAAAAAAGATACACAATTAAAATGTGTAATCATTACACTTGTTAATTAACAAAAGGACAATTTTACCCTTAATAGGAATTTTTTTTTCTCCATCTCATAGTTAAAGGTAGAATGAGAAAATAGATATAAACATTTTAAAGTGGACATTTATTTTGGGACCAACTAAAATAATAAGGTATACACTTATTGAGCGGACGGAGTATTTAATTAGCCATAAACTAGCTTAATGAAATTCTTGGACTCAACTATTTGGATTTGATAATAATACAATGTAACATCTGATCAAACACTAAGAAAATTTTAGGATTGTATTATGGCCTATATCCAAAAAACACAACGAAATCCAAAATGCTATAGGATCCAATTTTGGTGTATCCGAAATATGCCTTGTACTTCGGATACACAGTCATCCTTCTAAATAGGATTTCCAATGTAATATACTTAAAATCCTATATTTTAATCTGTTATCTGATCAAAACAGAATGACTCTAACAAAATCAAAGACTAATTAAAGTGAAGTAAAATTGATGACAAAGTAGATTAGAGAGTCATCTAGGCGATTAAAGATCAAGAAATGGATAAGTCGGATAGTTTGGCAAATAGTATGTCGCACGCCGGTTTCGAGTGAAGAATTAGGGACCAAGTTTCAATTACCAACTCTAGTTCTAGTATGGGAACATGTCAGCCAAAGTAACTACAGAATGTCTACTTTACTTACTTTACTGTTGAGTCTGTGCATGAAATAATGGATTGGAGCAAAAAATGTCTACATCAAATAAAATGACTTATACGAAAAGTACAAGGATACATGAATCAACAAATCAGATATAGACATGCGTTAAGGTTGCACTATTGCATTAATTGCTTAGACTGCTATAAAAGATAGTCTTTGAATCGTATGCAACTTGTCTGATTGAAGAATTTATATGTGAAAATTCTTGCTAGCCAACGCCTTAACCCTCTTAAGTTTTATCTCAGTTATCTAGTATTTATTACTATTAGGATATTTTTCAAGAGTGTTCTTTCAGTCTCTGTGAGCTTCAATTATGTCTTTTATATTTTCCCAATTAATTTTTTGAATGTCCTTTTTACGTAGTTTTACATTTTTCGTGTATTTCGTCAACTAGTTTTTACCAAACAAGACTACTTTTAATAACTAACTTATTAGTAATTGGCATAGCAGTGTTCTAGAAGGCTTGCCATGCAGCCCTCATGGCATGTCGTGGTTCAAGACCGGTCTCTTATGCCACATTAAGTCTATGGCAGCCGTCGTGGCTAAACGCTCTATGGCCACTCTTTTAATCTTTTTAATGTTTTACTTTTTTTGTATATAACCTCGTTTATATTGTTAAATATCATTTACCCATCAAAGATAATAGTAGAAAACATGTCTCTAATTGTGTTTATGTAGAATATGCCAAATACAAACCTAATTTTTGTTACACCATGGTCTTGTCGTGGCTCCTAAGGCTTGAAGCTTAACCTCAGCGTCACGTCATGCCTAACACCGAACAAGTTCCAATTTCTGACTTTAATGCAAATGCAGGTACACCCAGATGGTAAACAAGAATCGTGGAAACAAATGTACGTATATACATACATATCGTATAATGGTGAATGTTAAAGGTAACATACATGTACATACAACAAGCGATTCTAACTATACATATTATCGCACCACCATCCATATATTGTCCGTTTACAAAAACTAAACATCGAACACAATGCAGATTCTCCCTCTCAAAAACTTGAATGCAAAGGAGGGGTAAATTAAATCACCAATCTAAGGTGATTCCCCTCGAAATGTATAAATTATCTATGTACGTTATTACTGGAAGCGAGGCTTTTATATACCTTCTCATTTCCTTTGCCGCTGATGGTTCTGTCACAAGTTTTAAGTAAGATTCATCGTTAACAAACTTGTTCAACATTGTTATATAAAGTCAAATAGTCAATACGTGTTTTTCTTTTTATTCTTGAAAACGTAAACGTATGTCAAAAATACATTACCAGTTTCATTTAAATTCAATAGGAGTTGATCCCTTGATGGAAGAGCACACATCCCAGCCGAAACTGCGGTTCTCACTGCCCATGTGTGGTATGGTGCACAAACTTGTTGGTATGCCGATGAAGCTGCTTCTTTTAGCGAGTAGTATTCCCTGGATCATCACAAACATTATTTATTTCCAATGGGATAATTTATAAAAACTCTAAACATTATTCACATAGTGTTAATTATAGGTAAAAAGATTTTGCTGACATACTTGGTGATCAAAAAATTCTGAAACAACTGTCTAATAAGATCAAGACCCTGCCTAACTCTGCGAAGATTACGTGTAAGGCTCCCAGGTGACTTTACTGTGTTGTTACCTAAATCATAATCAACTACATTTCTTAAAGTCACAAATCGCTCTGATGCTTCAGTCAGATCACGCACCTGAAACCAGCGACCAGAAAACTACATAAGATGTTAACTAGATGACTCATAGAGATATAAGAGGCATAACAAGGATTTTCATACGTTATTTAGTAATCTAGAGAAGGTATATGCCAAGGTCACAAAGGACGTGGTGAGTCATCGACATGAATAAAACACCTACATGCATGTACTTAATCAAACATATGACCATATACTAGCAAAAATGATAGAACGTAAAATGTTAGATAAGCTCCCTATTACTGTTAAGGGAAGTTGTCTACATGGAACGATGTAGCATACCAGCTCAACCATACCAGATATTTTCCGCCTTGTCCATACATTTGGACTCACAGTTTTAAAGGGCATCCGATAGAGGAGGTATTCAATCCCTTTTAAGGCAACCTTTGTTTCCTCCCCAACTAATGTGGGATCTTACAATCCATCCCCTTGGGATCCTAATGTCCTCGTTGGCACTAATACCATCCGTAACATCCTAGCCCAATTGTACCATATATTGTCCACTTTGTCCATACAATTGGGTTCACAGTTTTGAAACACGTCTGACATAGGAGGTATCCAGTTCCTTATAAGGCAAGCTTTTATTCCCCTCCCTAACTATGTGGGATCCTACAAACGAGAAAGTTAACTAGGGCCACCGGCCACATAGCTAGACTTAGTATACCATCTCGCAAGCTTGACATATAACATCCTTATAAATATGGAAAAAACAACTTTTTGTATGTTTTTTGTTCCATCACAAAAAAAAAATATGAGTTGTAGTTATGTATATATTTTCATGAAGATTCTCACAATGTTGGATCTTATCTTTTGTGAATGAGCACAAGGATAAATAGTATGCAACATAAATAGCCTTACTCTTTATTGATGAATAAAGCCACTTTTCATGATGTTGCTTTTGCGATCCATTACTTCCATCTCCTAATGGCGTTTATAGGATAGAAAACGTTGTGGGTTCCAACTATATTCTTGGGTGCGTGAGAAATAAGTTGTAAGCCATGTGTAAATGGATTAGGCAGCTACGTACGAATATGATGAAAACCATAACTGTGATTAGTGATCGGACAAGGAATAGGAAATTTAATAATGTACTATGTCAAAAGTAATTCTCTATCTTTAGAAAGAATTGAATTTCAATTTTGATTAGCGTCTTCCATTCTTTTACTTTTTTCAGGCATGCATATGAAAGTTGGTTCAATGTCTGCAGTATCAACTGTCAAGAGGGAAAGAGGATATATTGTCACACTGCTAAATCCTAAAAGCCAATGTCAGTGTGTCTTCATAAAAAATTCAATGACATGTGTTCTTACCTTCTACTACTTCTACATAATATACTTGCAAGATTAGAGTATCAATTCACAAAAATCAACCTTTACATGCATAGTCATGAAAGTCGAGCACGACCTTTAAAAACTCTTGGTGCTTAAGTTACATCCAAAGAGATATTACTTTAGGAAAGAACTGACAAGAAATAGCCAACATAGGTCTTCACTAAATTGCAATAAAATATAGCATTCCATTTCTACATGTTACACCAATATACCATAACACTCATCAATGAAGATCAACCGTGACCCCACGATGCATAATTGACAAAGTAACTCTCCAGATACCATCAATCAACCCTAGACAAACCCATATCTATGTACATAGTATATACAGTTTATTGCACCCACGATTTCTACAAGAAGCCCACTTAGATAAACTCAATCACTACCTTTAAGTAGTGGGTGTCTGCTTAAATGACTATAATTTTGTTGTCACAAACTGAAGATCCAAAGATTTTATTAATACTAAAGTTATATAAGTTGCTTACAATGGTCATAGCAACTTTGTTGTTCCAAAAGCATGACTGACTAATTGGTTTTGAGGGATTTAAGTATTGGGCATGCATTTTGAATGAATCGGCATTATTGTTGCTACCAAAGCTCACGTCAATAGCATCTTTAGACAGAAATTCTACAAACTACATGAAAACAATTTACATCATGGATCCAAATAACTTCCCAAATTGAGAATATGAAAAGAAACACAATTAGATTTTGGAGAAGAATAAAAAACAACAAACCTTAGAGGTATATTCCATCTCGGCGAATTTAAAAGCGATGCCTAGGCAACCAAAGAGCACAGAAACTAAAGAACATGCATCACAAAAAGGCTTTAATTTTAAATCAACAGAATCACCGCCATCATCATGTTTAATGATGAGATCCGTGATTTCCTCAAATGCATCTGCGATGGAAGAAAGAGCAGTCCCTGTTCCAGCATCTTCGTATTCATCGCCGCTAGTATAATCCATCCTCTTAGTCCTAGGAAATCGTAATTCAACATAAATCATAATTTGCAAAACCTAAACAAAATCAAAAATGAAGGCAGGCACATACTTTTCCATTTCCACGCTCCTGCCATTGGAGCTGAAGTAGGAAAAAAGAGCCATTGAATTTAGGTATTGTCTCTGCTAATTAAGGTCTGAATTTACCCTAAGAACATACGATATTCTGAGAGGGAGAGAGATTTGATAGGGAGGAAGCGAAGGGAAATATATGAAGGTGATGGCGATTTTGTTGATTCTACTTTTCACATGATACGTGAATTGGCGCGTCTGAAACAAAAACCAGACTATTTTTCCGAATTATTTGGAATTGGAAAGACTCGTCTTAATTTAACATTAACTTCCCCTCTTCTTTTACTTTATTACATAAACGCCCATTTTTTATCTACTTTTTTTGGAATCCTTTTTGGTTCACATGATTAGACCAACTTTTTCACCGTCTCACCCCCTCAGTCATCCACGACCCTCCAACGTGACCCCACTTCCCCAAGAACATCGAAGGTTCGTCTAGGAACATCGAAGTTGTGACCAAAACCCTCACCATTTCCAACCTGGCATGACCCTCTCGCAACCACGCCCCCACCCCTCCTCCTTTCCTAGGCCCCCTTCATGATGATACCTTCTCATCCGCGACATAAAGCATCATCGAAGTGCACATCCATATCTCTCTCTCACACACTCTCTCTCCGCAGAAGAACATATCCATCTCATAAATGAAAAAGATCAAAATGCCCTCAACTCAAGTTAACAAGTTTTTTTAATATATTTAACAAGATGGAACAAATCTAAAACAAAACGATAATCTGAGGGACCAAATCTGAAACAAATTGGCAATTAAAACGTAATTAGTTTAAACTAGGGACTAGATTTGATAGTAAATGGCAACTACAAGGATCAAAAGTGTAATTTACCCTTAATATTTTTTACAATATTTTGTCTCTTGATTTACTAGTATAGTTTGCTAATATGATTTGGGTTACTGATATGCTTTGCTTATACAATTTGCATTACTAATTCGTGTACGATTTTTGTTCATGGTTTGGGTTTACGATTTGGGTTACTGATATGACTTTTGTTCATAATTTGGCTTCACAATATGGTTTTTTGTGTACGATTTTTGTGTATTATTTGTTCTTGGGGATGTTTTGTTATTAACATATTGTTTTTTGGAACAGGAAGGCAAGAACACGTAGGCGTGAGGGACACTAACCAACAACGACAAAAGAATTTTTTAACATGAAGCATTCTTTTGCAAGAAATGTTATAGAAAGATGTTTTGGTATTTGAAGGCCAAGGTTTGGTATTTTAATAGATAACTTGTATTATCCGGTTGACCTTAAAAATAGGATCATAATGGCATGTTGTCTTCTCCACATTTTATTAGGCAAGAGATGCCAATTGATCCATTTGAGAATAAATATGAACCGGATGTTAGAACTGAAGATGATGGAACCGGAAATGAGGATATTATCATTTCTGATGGGACATCAGACGTGTGGACTCATTTAGAGATAGTTTAGCTTAAAATATGTTTGAATGAGTGTTACCAATTGATGTGTATCTATCAACTTTGTGTTGCATTTGATGAATATACCGATTTATATTCGGATTGATATTATGGTTCAATCTTGGAGTGCTGCCTTTTATGGTTTTATTTTTGATGCACTTGTTTATGTTTATGCTACTGTAGGTATGACGTCATGGAAGAAACTATAAGGTTTAGTCGGCATTTGAAGATGCCAAACTTGTTGAAAATTAGGTAGATATGGTAAATAACGAGTGTTTAAAGCTGACAATGGCTTCAAATTTAGATTCAAATTTAGATATTTACAACACTTGGAAAAAGCTTTACTTCCCAATTCTTGTATATTGGGTAAACCTCATATTGAGTCAATGATAAAGACTAAAAAAGATTGGCAGGTTGTTCATGACATGTTGCATGGTAGTAATACTAGTGAGTTTGATTTTGATAGTGAAATGTATGACTGCTGAACCACCAATCTAGGAGTCTTATCTATAGACTATAGGTACATATTCATTTGTTATGTATAAAAAGTGTAATTATACGTTGTTTTATACTTAAATATTGTAACTTATGATATGAGATAGGTTCACAAAAGAGGCTGCAAGATGTAAAACAAGACATTTCCTCATTTTGAGGATTTGCGCATTGTTTTTGGTAAGGATAGAGCTAATGGAAATAAGGTGAGAGATGTCATAAAGATGGAAGATATAAGCATGAAAGAGAATATCATCAATCAGGACAAGTTTGCTAATGTGCAAGATGATGCCTCTATTGCACAAACAAATGTGCAAAGTAAAGAATGTACTAGTAGAAGTAAGAAAAGATAAAACAGAAATGAACTTTTACATGAGGTAATCAATAATGCAACATTTATGCTTGGGGACAAACTTATGAATGCATCTTCATCAATGGTGCCAGTTGAAGTGGACATGTTTAAAAACCATTCATGACCACTGATGAGCTCGAGAAGTTTGGAACATTTTCTAAAATATGAATGTTTATTGCATTGCGCAAGATAACAAAGGAGTCTGAATATGTGATTACTTTTTAAAGCTTGAAGGGAAAAAAGGCGCGAAAATTAGGTACGACTCATGTTGGACCAATAATTAGTTTGGTTTGAAAATAATATTTTTGGTTGATGGTAATTATTGTTTGGAGTTCACATCTTTGGTATTTATTTTGGGTCCAGCTTATGTTGGACCAACGAACGGTTTGTTTTGAAAACAACATTTTTGGTTTATGTTAAACCAATTATTGGTCTATAAATATATATATGAACACTAGTTTTGGTACTTATTGCTTGAATATGGTTCAGCAACCTCTAGCCATGTGTAAGAATGGTTTAGTAACAATATTATGTATGTATTTGATATGATAACGTGTATGAAGAGGTTTGTTTACGGTTACATAATTTTATGCTTATATATGATTTAATAAATAGTAATTTATATGTTTTTTCAATATTAAATTTTAATTTTATTATTACTTATAATTTGAAAAATAAAACAAATTGTATTTTTGTCGTTTTTCGTTAGTCCATTTCAATTCATTTGCAAAACCAAACAAACAGACTCTAATTTACTTGATAATTCAATCAAACACTTGTTCAAACCAAGGTTCTAAATGATGTGAGGTGAGGTGTGGCGTCACGACGAGGTAAAACCTCAAACCTTATGAATTACGAGGTTGTGACGTTTTTCAAGGCGTGCTTTTAGACGGCATATATGGTCCCACACCCTTGTGTGCATTAGTGTTTTGAATATAATATTGTACAACAAATTAAATTCATATAAAGTAACAGAAAAAAAAAAGAAAAAAAAACCATTGATAACAAATATATAAAGTTAATAAAAAATGATATCAAGCATGGAAAATCAGGATTAAATCTCTTGAATCTTTACTCACTACATTTTTCAATTTTCAAAGAATTCGTGTTCGACTTTCCGTATATGATAATGCAAGTATGTACCTATTTAAGTACCCATCTTGCACACTTTTTGGTTACAAAAACCACAATTCAGTTCCATCCCAATTGATGATCTTGGTTTGAAATGAAATGCCAATAGAATCCAACATTAACTAACATACCAAGTGAAGTGAAGCGAAGAGAGCAACACAAAATCTCAAAACGTCCAAATAAATAAGAAACGGAAGAGAGAGATTCCGGTTACATTTCAATTCCCATATTTCCACAAGATGAAATAAAAAAAGACTTTGAACCCAGAAATAACCACAACTTCTACTATTACTAGTCTTCAAACTCATGCATATGATCTAATAGGTAATTGGCTGCCAGCTCTTCGTTCTTGTTGCAAGCGAAAAACACCTCTAATACTAGTGCTCTATCGAATCCCATTGCTTCAAGCTGCGTGTTCCAATTCATATTTCAAACTATTAACTATCTTTGCTTCAAACCCAACACGAAACTAATATGTATATCATTAGGTCTAGTATGTATGTATGTATAACTTACACGTTCAATTGCTTCACGTTCCTCAGGTGTAACCGTCACAGCTTGTGGCATTGCTGCAGCAAGATCTCCAAGTACATTCCTGAAATTTAAGATGGACCCTATGAAACTACTGGCATCGAATACGTTAAATCTTGAATACAAAAGTCATTGTTAGCAGAAAGAAAGAAAAAAAGCCATACTCTCCGCCTTCAACAGGTTCATTGATCAAGCGAAGAAAATCAGCTTGATGCTCTTGAATCAGTCTCACCAGGTGAGGATTTTGCTTCCCCAACTCTTGAAGCATAGGCTGTCAACAACAACAACAACACAATCATAACATAACAATATCATCTACGCATCATAAATAAATTCACAAATACCTGCAAAATCTGTGGATTAGCCTGCACCATGGCTCTAAGTGCTTGGAACTGGAAACAGAAAAAATACATGGTCATTATTGGGAAGACCTGTGAGTATATAATCATGTGACAACCACAAGAAGGTTACAAACCCATGAGAACCAATCTCAATGTATTGTTTCACATAATCTAAGGCTAGAATTTAAGGTATTGTTTCATATATAGTTGTTTCGTAATGTGACACTTTTTTACCTGTATTTTCGGTTTCACAATATGTAATAACACATGTTTCACTGGTTCTCAACCTTTTTGGGGTTTTTCATTTGATTATGCCCATATACATATACATATATAGGGGCAGGTTCAACCGAGAACCGTAAATATTCTGGAAATCGTAAGAACCAATATTCATAATATTGATAATGAATAACATGATGAATATTCATGGTATTCAATATGAATATGAACTTATCCATATATGTACACATACATACATATATATATATATATATATATATATATATAKAGAGAGAGAGAGAGAGAGAGGATATGCATATGGTGGACCAGTGTGCAAAACACCTGTGGACTGTTACGGAGGAAATCCAGATTGCCTGCAGCACCGCCAGGAGCATTTGCGCCCATATCAGGAAGACCCTAGACCAAATGCAAGAAATTTATCATTTACAATGTTCAAATTGAAAAATCAGCTCATTGACAGACCACACAAATACCTGAGGAAAGAGATCTAAGGGGTTTGCATTTGGTCCACTTGAAGGAATGGCTGCTGGTTGTGTAGCTTGTGGGGGCTGAGAAGTGGGGTTTACAGCCTGCACACCTGGCACTGGCGAAGCTCCCGCTGCCGGAGGAAGCTCAGCTGGCTCTGGAATACCCTGATATGTATATAGAATTATCATACATCTACTAGATGGTTTCTAAATGCATACAACTGTTTAAAACCTACATTAGCAACAGCAATAATTAAGGTCCCTTGACAACATTCAGTATCTTTAGTTTATATTTCTACATTTTCTTACACTGTTCTCGGATTTGGGAAGGAAAAGAAAAGAAAGGGAAGAGATTTTTATTTGTGTTCTAGCAAGGGAAGGAATGGAAAGAAAACAATTGTTCATGTTCTTGAACTGGAGAGAGAAAAAGATGTCATTTTTACGAATATGTCATTCATATTTGTTTTTCTCACATTTGCTTAAGAAGGTATTTTTGTCAAAAAGATCAGACTCCTTTCAGATTTTCTTTCCCTCCCTTGCTTCCCACAATTGGAAAGAAAGATAAATGATATTTCCACCCTAAAATTTCAAAGAACCATGGTTTTTTTGTTATCCCCTCCTTTCTCTCCCTTTCCTTCAAGAAAAAGGTTTCAAGAACACAGTGTTAGTTCCAGAGGGCGCAGCCAGGCAACTTGGGTCTATTTAGGTAGCATGTAAAAATGTGTAACGGATCAGTTGGAAGGTCTTGTGTAGTTATCACTTTCTTCTTTAAATTAGGGTTTTCGATCTGTGCATGATGGAGGAAGAGAAATAGAACGTGAAGGGAGAGAAGAAAGTGAAAAAAGGGACAAAATGCTGATATAGTCCAATTTACTCTGTTCTTTTTATCAACTAAAATTAGACCAAACTTAACTTGACAAGATGTCGATCTGCAAGAAACGGTAATTTCACACATGTAACCTCCTTTTCTAATACCAGAACTTAAGCCAATCCAATTGAATGCCATCTTTGCTCTTTTATAACCCATTAACATACAACTTGATAATTCAAAACTGAATGCCAACCAATTATTTTTGTACAGTTGTGATTTACGAACATTTACTTCATTATCCATCAAACATAGCCTACTAAAGTATTCTACCAACCAGATGTTGTTCACCATAGTAGTTGTCCTTTGGTTACATGACCTTCTGACGGGTTTTCAAATCCATGACCTTCTGACATGGTTTTTTTAACCCGTGACCTGACAAGGTTTTTTTTAATCCATGACCTTCTGACAAGTTTGAGAATAGCCACTACTTAACAGAAGAATGCCACTTCCATACATAAGAATGCCTAAAAACCTGTCAATGGGTCATGGGTTTAAAAAGCAATTGTTAGAAGGTCATTTAGCAAAATAACCAATAGTTTACCTAATATGACTACCCCTGACGAACCAAGTACCACCAAATCATACCTGCACTGGTACGAACCAATGCATACTCTAAATAAGGTACCACTGGGGTAGCCATATCATCAAGTTAGAAAGCCTCTAGTGCCATCTAATATTTCTGGCCCAATATGACCAGTGATTTCTGGAAGCAACAATCAGCAAATCACTTAACTGATAATTGGTAGAGTCAGATTCTCAAACCCTTGAGTTTATATCGTCCCCTCTAAGTTAGTTATAAAGATGCTGAATATCGGTTCTATTTGTTGTTAGTACCATGCAGAGTTATCAATGACACAGATAATCTGCTTATACAGTTATGCTTCAGAGTTCAGACTAAAATCATCAAGAGACTTGAGTCACACTACACGAGAGAAATATAACAGACTACTGGTGTTTTCTGCTAAGTAATAGTTCAAAAATGGTCTGATGTCAACAGACGGTTGACTTGTCTGATACTTTTCCTTGAGATTCAAGTTGAACAGAAACTGAGGGACAGCACACATACTCTATGGCTGGAGGTTAAAATAAAATTTTGAAAAATCAGAAGATATTCAAGTACTTACAGAATACAGATATTCGACAGCTCTTTCTGGATTGTTGAAAGCAGCACGAAGAGCACGAACAACTGTATCCCTGTCCCAAATCCCTCCACCCATATCAAGAAGATGCTGGATCGTACCCTCCAAATTACTTCCTGCAACCAGATTTGACGCTGCTTGATCATATACATTCTCTGACCTAGATGAGCCAACATCAGTAAGATATTTCAGTAAACCAGATCATATAAGAGTTCTATAAATGAATAATTAGCCATCCCGTGTTATTGGAGAAATACTGACGGAACATTCACAGCAGATGCTGGATCTGAAACTGGAATAGCTGGAGGAACAGATGGAGGTCTGCGATCAGAGACACTAGTTATATCGCAGAAACGGTGATCTAAACAGAAAATCTGACCAAAAAAAGGGACCCGCAAATATGATAAGAAAAGAAAATTCAATATGTACACACAGATAAAACAGCTTAAGCTTACTGTGTCACAACAGCTGGAGAAGGAGCCTGAGTGGCCGGTGGTGCAACAGGAGCTGCGCTTGTCTGAGGAGCCTGCATGACAGTGTTTCCAATCACACCACAAACACTTCAGAAACATTAACGACATAAATAAAGATGTCATCTGAACACAAAAGCTAGCAGCATGCATAGTCAAGTTAAAATTATAAAACCTAAACATGAAGAAATTCAAGAAGGTTTCTCAAAGCATTACTTAGGGAGGCTGCATTTAGTTCGCAGAAAGGACTGGATGAGACACGACGTCAACGAGACTGGGGAAGTTGGGAAGGTGAATGAAAAAACTGTGGAAGGTTTTAGAGTTTTAATTTGACTATTGACAAATCTCCCAAATTTTTATTCCACCGATTTTGGTGGAACAAAAAACTCAGATCCTGTCATGTTCGAGTCTAATGTCGCACCAAACATGGAACAAGTTTTTTGTACTGTCCTGCATACCAAATGCACCGTTATAGAACAGGAATCTTAGGAGCTCCCGTACATTTTTTGAGTTAACATGTTGAAGAATAAGTGTGATGTGAGGAATGTTTAATGTGCATCATGAGTAGCAAACATGCGACTAAATTGTCATGATTGAAGTTTTGAAACTTGGGGAAATTCTTAAACATTCCATATCAATCCAAACCAACACTGAATGCGAAAAACATTAAAGATTAAACGAATAAGTCGCTACCTTTGGGGCAGTAGCTGCTGTCGAAGCTTCACCAGAGGGGGCCTTAGTCTGCAGTTAATGTTGGCAATAAATTGAGAAGGAAATATCAATCAGATTACATTTCAATGTTGGGTCTGCACATTCAATATGGACCTAAGCAGACAAGAAAAATGATCAACACAATAAATGTACATATGCTCAGATCAGTGAACCAACTTCCGGTGTTCATTGATAATAAGCAAGTTTAATTTGTGTCAACAGTGTGTAGAGTTGGCTTACTCTGCTACATGGTATGCTAAAACACTTTCACACCATGCACTATAAGTATTTAACATGTGTGTATATGGTTCTAGAGCCGCACACATTTATAGATTAAAGGGAAAATTCATGTTCATATTCATATTCATATTCTTCAAATGCCCCATCTACATTATTTCTAGAATGCCCTTGATAAAAGAACAGTTAAAATGATGGAATGAATCTTGGAATAATATAAATGCTATAAACTTGTAACAATAAGCCAACACAATAATTCCTACTTAAAAGACCAATCACTGGTTTTCCAATTACTAGGCAAAAACAACTTCTAGTCACAGGCTCTCATCCGCTTCCAGCCATCTATTCCCTAATCCGTTTCAAAGGTCAGTTTTCAGTTCTGGTGGTCGTGAGACGGTTGTGTGGCAGGACAAGGTTTTACCTTGTAAGGGATTCAATGTTCATGTATTTTGCCAGACATGGCAGTGGTGAAATGGTGGCTTCTTCGGCAACAGCAGTGGCAGAGAGAGAGTGGTGTTGCAATGGTTGCTTTGACTAGGGTATATTCTTTTTTTGTGTTTATTTCAGTCTATTTATCGCGGTGAAGTTTGGTGCCTTGTCTAGGAAGTCAGGGGGCTCGATTGATTACATATATCTCAGGTCATACTAAGGCTCAGGGCTCGGTAATTGCCTTGGTTGGTTCTTGGTTTGATTTTCAGTGAAATAAGATTTAATTGTCTTATATCTCAGTATGTACTAGCCTTTCTGTTTGATAAAACTTTGATTGTCAAAAAGAAGCACAGATAAGTCACAGATGAAAAGGATTAATGTTCCTATACATTTTATGCTTATTGTTACCAATCTACCCTTCCTTCCCACCTTACTTGCCTTGTTTCGATGAGTCACTACTGGAGGTGATATGGTGTACTGTGAACTGTGTACGTGCACCAGAATCCAGATCGTCTGAACATGGTGCAGTAGTTACACTAGCAAATTGGATAGCATTGCTTCGGAGCTCTTTTTCGAGCTTCAAGCAAGAGCCAGTGAGATGTGCTAAGCTTCAGAATCAAAAGAGTATATCTGGCTTGTAGATTCTATAAGACCCATTGATCATTTCATGGATGGTAAAAGCCTGGGACAAACGGAGACAAAAATGTTTCTGGAAGAAGAAATGGTTCACACTAATATGCACAAATGCAAAATAGAACATTAAGCTACAATATATGTAAAATGGATACTCAAAATGTTACGAACTTAAAAACTCATTGATGAATAATGACTGCTCTCCTAAACAAACAAAACTACCACATTGCTGAAATTTCAGAATTTGATAAAAAGGACTGAAGCAGCAGTGCTTCAAAATATTTAAGCAGTTAATTTTACCTTAGATAACATGATGACGATAAAAGAACTTTCAGCAACTTTATTCTCCTCCAAGGTGGTGGTGTCTTTGAGCACTTTACCCTGATGGATAAGCATTTGCTGTGCAGCGGGATAAACATCTGGTCCCTGAACAGTTTCTATATTTTTCTTCACGTCAGCGACCTGCAAGAATGTTCAATACATCTTACCAACTTACACGAAACCTCAAACCAACCGATTAGGATACAGACGGTGCAAGTGTGACCTTAAAGGTGTTGGGATAAAAACAAAGATAATAGAACATAACAGAAGAATAATGACACCAAATAACCCAAGCATAAAGAGCTTGAATCACATCAAACAAGTTAACAGATGTATTATTCGTTGCAATCAATTATAGAATTCTCAAGATGCAAACAAGAGCATCTACTCAGGTTGCTATTACACAATTTATATGTTGATTTATTATTCGTCGCAATCAATCCTAGAATTTTAAGATGCATAAAGAGCATACCATTCAAGTTGCCGTCAAACAATTTATATTGACATTCCAGTTACAGCCCATCCTGTGTCTTGTATTCTTAAAATATTGGATTTTAGCTTTGTGCTTGGATAGCGATTTCAGGGAAGTCATGAATGTTGTCTCACTGGCCAGAGAGTAAGGAAATCCAGTCAACAAAGACTCCACTCCCAACTCTTGCAAAGAAGCTTGTAGTTGGAGTCGGCGGCTCTCCTAGGGTTCCCTTATTGGAGATCTCTGGGGAAAAGGAACACCCAGCCACCCAACTATATTGCCTACCACCCTATGGAACACGCCTTTCACCTTAGCATACTTTACGGTCACAACTTAAAAGAAATCCCTAATGCATACCACTACTTGCATCTTGATTCTATTATATTTTACATGCCCATCAATATCTCCCTCTTGAATAATACCGTGTGTCGTAAGTCGTAACATTTTCTTTATGAGCATCTCATCCCACACATGCTTCTCTACATCTACAAAACATTCTTATATTGCCACAGTTGCACTCCATTTAGACTGCATTTCTATGCACTCTAAAACAATTCATTTCTATAAACATACATGGAGAGTCCACACTGAAAATAAGGAGTAAACATTGAGGTGGGATAAAAGAAATGTTGACGGATGTGGTACTCCCGAATCTTCACTATCAACAAATTAAGTAAATAAGTTGGTGTTTATTTCCTTTCAAAATAACTTTCGATATGTATATCAGCAGCCTTTTGAATGCCAAATATAACTCCAACTCTTATCACCCAAAAAAAACTGGATATTGTCGAAGCTATTAGTATAATACTATCATAGTACTCTCGAAATCTTCACTATCAACAAATTAAGTAAATAAGTTGGTGTTTATTTCCTTTCAAAAATAACTTTCAATATGTATATCAGCAGCCTTTGGAATGCCAAATATAACTCTAACTCTTATTACCCAAGAAAACTGGATATTATCGAAGCTACAAGTATATTACTATAATAGTACTCTCAAAATCTTCACTATCAACAAATTAAGTAAATAAGTTGGTGTTTATTTCCTTTCAATATGTATATCAGCAGCTTTTGAATGCCAAATATAACTCTTAACTCTTATTACCCAAGAAAACTGTATATTATCGAAGCTATTAGTATAATACTATAATAGTACTAGTCAATTAACAAGCGAATAGCAACTCTTGCAGATATCTTGTATCTGCAGATAACTTGAGTTTTTTAACAAAATAAACATTGCAAAAAAAAATCACTCAAGCCAGTAACCATTAAATACTATAATCATTAAATATTAGACACATCAAATAGTATCTAGCACTTTCATAGTTAGTTGTATTATAATCATTAAATATTTCAAAAATATATCACAAATAATCAGAATGATGTAAACTTGCTGTCAGACAGGTCAAATCAACGGTTAAACCGGTCAAGCAAGTAACCAATTGTCGTCGTGATCTATGTCAGTTAACTTTTTATAATAATATTGCTTAGGAATAGCACACAGAAAAATGCATAAGCGAAGAATGTCATTACTTGTTGGCTTTAGGATCCTGAGAAGTGTAGCATGGCTATAAGATATAAATATAAATTTGGCATATTACAAATCAGCAGATAACAAACACCCCACCTGCTGATTCCAATGTCTGCAAGAGTCTGCATGGAAATTAGATATTCTTGGAACACATGTTTATGACGCAGCACAAAAGTTCTAATATTTTAACCTAAGGTATGTTGGTACTAATATCCACATTGTATTCTCATAAACTTTTGTATGTTGGTTATGCTTCCATGCAGAGATATACGGAATCATCATATATAAACAACAAGAATCAACACTTTAACTTTTCTGTCAAAAAGTTCAGAAACCAACATGTGTAGCATATATTGGTTAATAAAACAATTCTCAGTTACATTTTCATATATGCAAATGGCAACAGACGTGTCGAGCATGTCAGCATGAGCATGAGACTCCGCCTTAAAGACCAAAATGACCAATGCTTCCTGGAGACCTTTTATTGAGATGTAACGTAAGAGAAAAAGGATGGAAGGCACGTCCCGCAAAGCAACAATGCAACCAAACAAGTAACCTACTACTTCATCAGTTATTCCAAACATTGGTTTCATGTTCAATGGCATTGAATTCACAACAATAAACAATTTAAGTGGTTCCTTAAATTAGATTCAGAAAGCACAAATAAAACCCGTACGCAAATTCATAAGCCATAAACATTTAATCCTTCCGGTCTCAAGTAAGCTACTAAGAATGACAAGGTCGGCTTTGAACTACCATAAATGAATTCTTTTCGAGTTTTTTCCATTAAATAAACTATGCACTAAATTCAAAAGCAGCCACCGGTCGTTCTGCATACGTTTTTTAATAATTTATCCATTTTCCATAAAGGAGCCGAATGGAAGGGAAGTTTCCAAATCCCCTCCCTCTCTCTCTCTCTGGCTCTAGGTAATTCCATAAATCAGACCAGATTATCCTAGACAAGACAAGTAAGACAAATGTACAAGCAAGGAACATGATTGGTGACTGTGACGACATTAAATGTAATTACTACCACTTTTCCTAGTTAACAGCTTCCAATCACACTCCATACTCCAATTTGGTGTGTGTATATAGAAACTGACAGATTCAACTACTTCCTTAAATCAGAGCAACTAAGCATAAACAGAAACAAATATTATATAATTGCATAAGCAGAAACTCCAGACTAGATCACGTTAACCAGAAATCAGTTAAGTGACAGCTTCCTACGACCTATTTCACATTCCAATTTGTAAACATCCAGAAATCTACAATTTAACTAATTCTCTAAAATATATTATATTGGCCTAAGGATAACCAAACTTTATTTGTGAAACTTTCTCCAGGTTTTCTAACGCAAACTACTACTAACCACTTCTTGACCACTTCCGACCACTGATTCACATTGAACATCAATGATACCAAAGCAATTTACAACTCAATTGATTTTCCTGGATACTAATCCTTAAAAATTAAATGCCCATTTGTCACTGTTTTCTCGAGTAAAAAATCAATCACTTTGTAGACCACTATGACACAATTTAATGACTTCATGGCTAATAAAAAAATGACTGCTCTCGTAAAGTAGCTTAAATGTCCTAGACAAGAGAAAAAAGAACCATATAAGCAAGTTTCAAGCTTGGTGTCTTTGAATATACCAAATATAACAACCGTTTCTCTGAAAAGGTGGCAGCTTGCAAGTTGCAACCACACTTTTCAATCCCAGTTCAATGAATTTTTAACAAAAATTCACAATTCAATCAGTGGTACAAACTACAGTAACTAGCCTTAAAAATAAACAACCACAAAAGCATGTAAGATGCTTCAGGCCTGCTCATAGCTCGCCACCACCAACTTTCACATCCCAATTATTCATACAGATTCACAATTAAAATAACACCCTGATAAGGTTAATTAAACGATTGTATATGTTTGTGACTATTGACTATATCGCATAAAACTCCTAACCATTATACAAAACTTTATCGATTCACGCGAGAAGAGAAGGCACAATCTAATTACTAATAACGCCACTGAAACCCTAAAAAAACAATTTCACAATTACATACGCCAGAAACATGCTTTGAACATTATCGAGTAGAACTTGAGATCAAATAATACATAAAAACCCTAGCTTTCAATCAATTGAACATAGAAACATCACGATTCGATATAAAGAAAACAAGCATAATTGAAAACGATGCGTACCGTGTCTTCAGGTTTTACTTCGATTTCGAAGTGAGTCCCCTTCAATGTTTTCACAAAAACCTTCATCTTTCAATCTGTCGCCTGCAGTCACAACTCAAATCGAATAAGTTATCGATTTACGTGACGAAAACCAACAAGAGAAAATCAAAGACGAACAAGAAATCCGAAGCATGAAAATGGTAGAAAAAATATAGCATACTCGCACCGATTTCGTCTTTTCTAATGCGTCTCTCTCTCTGTGGGTGGGAGAAGGGTGTGGAGGGGTGTATACGGTGGTATACCCCCTTTCTCAAGGCAAAGGGAAAAGGTGGAGTCCATACGACCACGCGCTACCAAAGTGCGTGGACTACACGTAATGGGCTTAGAGAAATCCATATGTAGGCCCAGGCCCATTTTCAACAAATACTTTATCTAACGAGCAAACAACGTTTTTAGTTTTCTTAGGTAGTGTTTGGTACGCAGACATGACAGGATGGGACGAGACAGGATTAATTATATGTCATATGCTTGGTACGACTAGGACAGGACAAGACAAAACTATTAAAATGATCATATTACCCCTAAATGTTGTTTAATGTTATTTTATATCATATAATGATTGTAAAATGACAACAAATCAATCAAAATATTATCATTTTAACTTTAGTCCCATGTTGTTTTACCTTTTTTGGTTGAACAAGAAATATCAAGATTTGTCCCATTAAAATTAAAAATAGTCTCACCTTGTCCCATGTTTTTTTTGTCCATGACATGCCAAACATGAGACTATTTTTTTTGTCTCATCCTGTCCCATGTAGTCTGCATACCAAACGCACCCTTAAGAATTAGACCCGAACTGTTTCGGTTCATAGGGTGAGGAATTGCATGTGTGGACGACTTGTAGCCCGGATTTTGACTGTTATTCTATTGATTTTCCAAATGGAAACCACCGTTTTCAAATTTCAATGACCATAGAATTTAGTGAGCGGCACAAAATAGACTTCCTTATCTGACTTTCAATCTACTAAGGACAACTGGCTCATTTTCATGCTTCAAAGGTACTGTAGGAGCCATCAAAAACAAGACATAACGAATTATCGCCAGCTGCTAGGAGAAAGAGAAGAGGAGGTGGGGGCTCGAGCCCTATTTTGAGCTTGATATTAATATTATTTATAGGGTTTTAAAACAATTTTGTACTCATTAAGCGCAACGGAAAATTAATTTTATGTTATAATTATTTAAAAGTCGAATCCAGTGACATTTAAAACAAATCTAAACAAACCATAGGATGTTTAGAATTATTACCTTATCAGATATGTATCCGACAGAGAACTTAGAAACCACGCTAGGTTTTCTCTATCAGTAGTCCACACACATGTACGTTTCTAGCTTCCACCAGATACTAGCCCAAGAAAGAAAGAAAAGTTTCTTTCAGTTTTTATCTGATAGCAAAAACCTAAAAGAATTCAATCAAATTGGTCTTTGGTTTATCACCTTATTTATATGTTATGAGTTATAGATAGACTATAACTCAAATAACATTATGTAATTATATGTAATATTTATGTAATTATCTTAAACTTTAATGTAATTATATACATTTACAGATAACACCTTGTAATTATTATAATTACACTTTAACACATATTTTTATAATTATCTTTCAAAAATAATTATTTTAACAATCAACATGATTTAATTTGGGTTTATGAAAATAGAAGCAAATGTATTATTTGCGTGCGGTTTACATACTACTTGATAGTATTTATGTGTGACACGTTTCGTGAACATATAATAACTTACATCATCATTGTGAAAAGAGAGATTAATGTGAGTTCTTTTTAGAATAAATAAGATTACGATGTCTATATCATACGAATTCAATATTTGAAATTTACTCGAATTAGCAAGTTAAAAATTGAGTAAAAATATATTAATATTTATTGCAATCAATGGGTTGCTATGGGTCATATTCATAGTTCTTGGCCCAAATTTAAACAAAGTTATGGGCTAATTTGTTCGGCCCATATTTTGTTGTTTTATTTGGGCTTTTCTTGGATATGGGTACTTTTTGGTTTAAGGTAGGAATGATCGAATATTGGTTAGGCTTGGATCCGAATCACGACAAGTTATATTATGATTGATTAAAGAGTAGTGGTTATTAATCAATCGGTCCCTATTAGTTACCATTTTATATGGACAGGTCGTAAACGATTTTTGGAAAAAAAGTGTCTTGTGGTGCTCGCATATTGGTCAATGGTATTGATTATTAATAAATGATATGGCTAAAGTGGACGCTAATGACGGGTTATAACCGATATCCTTATTGCTTATATATTTTTGGGCTAAGGATCAGGAACAGTTAAAATGTAACAGTATTGATTATTTTTGTCATTTCTATTTTCTGTTCGGATATGATTGATCTTAACCCAGCGTGAGAAAAAAAAGATAATATCAAGGGTAAATTGTATGAAAAACAAACATACTTTCATCCAATTCATATTATTTTTTTCAACATATTCCCGATCATCAGATGGAGACTAGAAGGTGTTGATCCACTGAAGGATCATAGTTGGACGAAGCAAGCTTACAACAACTAAAGAATCCCGAAAACAGTAAAGGCTATTGAAGTAGTTTTAACTGAAACATGACTACCGAAGCTTTGCACTTAAACTAAACGTATAGTCGGACGATGATATCACTAGAGCTGAAAGTAATACTTAAGTTGATATCGTTAAACCTGAAAAGATAGAAGACTGGTTCAAGTGCACATTGTCAAGGTGCATTGAAGACTTGTCAAGAGGATACATATTTGACACTATTGCTAAAGAAGATCCACCACTTAAGACAAAATCCAGGTGTTACTAAACTTAAATCATTAGTTATTAAAGGTATCACTAAAGATGTAGCATTGACACTGAAGACCTCGTGACAACCAACGCTTGTAAGGGCTCTGAAGTTGAGACTGTTTTATGACAAATTCAAAGCTTTAAGTTAAAATCAATGACTAGCGCCTAGTGAGATAAGTAAGTTTGTCGTACTCGTTAAAAGCTAAAGAACGTTTAGTTTGTTGGCCAACGTGAAGTTGCAGATAAAGAACACAGAGTCAATATGATATTAACATAAAACAAACGTGCGCTTAAAGAAATATTTAATGCAACTCGTCTAGCATAAAATGCATTATGAGTTGTTTTCAAAGTATTACACGTTTTCATCTCGCGTCAAAGAAAGAAAATTTTGTAGCTGCTTCCTCTAGGGAACTGAACCCCATGAAGAATATCTATTAGTTTGATTTTACCAGGGATCCCCGGCCTCAGCCCCAGTTTAAATAACATCCCCCGCCCCCGTCCCGGTTTGAGTCTACCGGGGATCCTAGGACCCATTTTAGCGGAGAATCTCAGTCCCCGTTCGGGTCGGGTGAACCGTGTTCCCCACTGGGTCGGAGCAAATCATCATCCCTACTCCATTCCCATATACTCGGTTTAAGTTGACTTGTGTTATTTGATTTTATTTTTTAATGGTAACTATGTAGTCAAAAATTTGATTTGTGCTATTTTCTAATGATGACAATAACATGATATTTGTGTTTTTCTCTTTTTAATGTATAAATATAAATTGAATCCAATACCAATTTTATAACATTTTAACCATCAGATTTGTAAATAATATTTATAGAAACTGATCAAACACTTGGAAAAGAAAATCATTGTTTAAATTGATTTACAAGGAATATATCTGACAAACTTCATCCATCGAATATGGTTCTAATATAGCAGCTTATGGTCTTGAAGTGTTAGGTCTCAGATAAATTGTGAAGCCAACTCTTTTGTGTTCAAGTATTTACCATGTGATTAAGAAAATCTGATAAACTTTCTCTTTGGAGTCTTAATATTTAAAAGTTCAATATCCACTATTTGTACCAAGTCTTTTGGTATCCGATGAAGCACCTTCATATTATTTTTATAGTTGGAAATTTGATCAACAACTTATATTTCGGGATTGAAAATGATGGTGGCTATCAAAGGTCACGCTTGTCATTCATTGTTACTCACCCGTTTTTGGAAGAACTTTTTTGTGATTGTTGCTTAGGCAAAATCGTCTTCAACATCTGAAGAACTTCCTTAGTCCTTTGGATCTGAAAGAGTACTTTTTTCCCCCACTCTTACAGAGTTAGCAAATTTTTCATAGTCGGATTTTTCAAGATCACAGGTCTTACCTTGCTAGTTTTTGCAACAAATTTGTAATTTTTTGTTTTATACAAAATATAGAATTTTAAAAAGTGAAAATCTATTGTGTATGTATCCCCCCCCCCCCCCNAACACACACACATCTCCCATGTAAGTAATCACTTCCAAGAGCAACAAGTGATATCAGAGCGGTTTGTTTAAACTCATAAACAAGATCCAAAATGAACTTTACAACCAATGATAATGGCTCTCTATCCAAACCTCCTCGTTAAAGATAACTTTTCTTTTTGAGAAATAGGATGACACACTTTCTTAAAGGAGTTGACAGCCAAATCCCTCATATTCTAAAAAATGGTCCATACGTTCCTACTTCTTTCCTTCATGGCGTCAGAGATGAAAATGACAAGGTTATTGAACCAGGAAGACACATACTCAAATCTCCTGACTTATGGTCAGATGAAGACAAGAAACTAGTCGCAGCTGACACCAAAGCCAGAATTATCATTGTTATGTACCTTCTAGATGATGTCTACCATTTAATCATGAATCTTTCCACTACAAGAGACATGTAAAACACTCTCACCGTTCTATATGATGGGACATCAAAAGTGAAACAAAGCAAAAGAATCAGTCTTATCATGCAACATGAACTATTCGTATGCCACAAGAATGAATTCTCACATGTTTAACTCTCTTCTAAATGATCTTAAAGAACATGATAAAGTTTTTGATAAAGCTAAAGTGCTTTACAAATTTATGGATTGTTTACCTGATACATGGAAAAATATAACTTTGTGACAGGAAATATCTAAGGATCTTCATCATATGCACTTAACTTCTCTTTATGGACTTTATGTAATTACAAGCAAACTAAACTCTTGAAGAAAAATGCCTTTCAGGAGACAAAAAAATACAAATATTGCTTTTGTTCCTTGGAATCTAAGAGAATATGATCTTTATCAAATGATATGATATAGACTCTGATATCTCTGATAATCACAATGATAAATCTTTCGACAATCTTAATGATGATTCCGATAGTGAGACTGAAGGTTTATCAATGCAAAGATATAAATGACTTTTTTAGCTGCTTCTAATCTCAATAGTTACAAA